GGTTCCCATATTTCAGAATAGGCTTCAAAACAACTGAGTCCCTTGGAAGCAAATAGGTCTGGGGAAGGGATGAGGGGGAATCACCTAGGATGGGAAGTAATTTTCATTGTCAAGGGCCCAGAGATTTGATTTGCATTCAGAGATAGAAGGTCAAGGTGTTTTCCTGCATGTATTCAAAACTAAAGTCTGGTTGTGGCATTGCAAATCTTTCTGGAACTTCAGTTTTTCCCATCTTCTTAGACCTGGCAGAGTCTTCCCTCCATAGCCCACCAGAACCTACCAGAACCCACCAGAACCTACCATAGCCCCAGAGGCAGCTCCTGCACTTCTGTGCAAATGTACTGCAGGGGGGCTCAGCTTGTTGCTTACATCCTGACATGAGGTTTCCAGCCCTCCAAAGGAAGACTGCAAAGGCTTTAGCCCTACCCGCACCCAGTACCCCACTGCGCATCTGCTGACCCCTTTCTACCTCAGCCTGTCCAAGTCTTTGGTTTAATCTTAAGCGAACAAAAGTACCATCAAAATCCAGTTCCCAGCCCAGAGAATTTACAGAAAGCAAAGAGGAAACACAACAAATGCATTTCCTTTTCAGTCTCTGCTGAGATTAGGTGGGTCCAAACTTGCAACCATCTTCTTTCTTCCCTGAGCATTTATATAGCCATCCGCACAACCCCTTTTATTAATCACGAAAAGCCTAGCTGTCCTCTCTATTCAGCCCAAACAGTTCCCCCTCATTGGGCGAAGTGAAATTTTTGAAGGCATCTTGACAACTCAAGTAAACACATTTTACAGAGATTTTTAACCTGTAAAACACACAGAGATCTTTTATTCTTTCTCCTCTTCTCACACATATAGAAATCTGACTTCCCACAGCTCCACCTGAGTATCCTAACATCGGACAGGAATATATTTGAAGCAGAAGCGCTACCACCCTTTCCCGATCGCCGAATGCTGCCTTTGCATTTGTATTCCTTTGGTGCGTTATCCTCAATGTAATGGCTGCTTCTTTGACTTATAACAGAAGTAGCAAAAATACCCTTGTAGGATCTGTTTCAAGGATTACAGCGAGGGTGGGGAGGTCAAGTGGATGGGGTAAGCCACAGAACTAAGAAACGGGGGGGGGGCAGGGAGGGAACAGGGAACACTAACCCCCAAACAGAGGTTTGGGGTGAGGCTCCAAATCCACAGCGGGTACATGGCCTTTCTCACCCCTACCCTTTGGGCAAACTCAGAAATTGCCTGCTTTCGTTTATTTATCATTAAAATGCAAATCATTTGCTTTAAAGCACAGTAAATATATATGTGGAGACAGGGGAGAGGGGGAGAGAGAGAGAGAGAGAGTTGTTTCCACCTGTCAAAGTCGGACTTTATTAGGTGGAGGACAGGAGGGGTTGAGGTCCCGGGGAGAACAAATCCTGACTGCCCAGAACATTTAAAAGCAGTTTGTTGCAGTGAGTTAGCCCGCTCCACCCGAATCAGGCCTCCTCCCATCTGGGCATCAGTTTGCCCCGGACACGTCTCCAAGGTGGTTTTAACGCTTGCCCGTTGGAGTCCAGGGCTAAGCAACTCCTCCCAGCCAGTGTTAGGACTGTCAGGACGCTCGCTCGACCTCTCCACAGGCAGACAGACGCTGCGGATCCAGGACCACCAGCAACCTGGCCAGAAGCGCGCGCCTTCTTTCAGCCCCGTACGACCGGGGTTTGGAATACACGCAGCCCGGCCGGAGGATTCAGGCATTCGGATTCACCTCGGAAGGCTCCAGGTACACAGACTCCATTCAGAATGTTGTATTGCTGTAATTAGGAACAATGTTATTTTAACTCTACAGTCTGAACGGTGCGTAAAAACCAAGGCGATCTTTTACGCCCAGCTGTGTGAAGCAGATGTCAGTTAACCTGAAGTGAATTGAGTTGAAAATACTCTCTGTCTCTCTTTCACACACACACACACACACACACACACTTTTTTTTTCTTTTTCCTTTTGAGTCCATAATCACCAAGTTCGCAAATCAGAAGAAAAGGGGAGTTGTCGTTTTGTGAAACTATGGGGTTTCACTAGCTTCTCCTGCATAGTATTGTGTTTTCCGGACTAGAATATAGGATAAGAGGCCAGGGTTCAAGCTCTAGGCGTAGGATCCAGGTAGAAGGCTGTGTGCCACCGGGGAAGTGGTGAGAAGTTTCCTTTGTAAGTAAGCAAGTTGGCATAGAAACGCCAGCTCCAGGGCCAGAGCTGAGCGCACTGGCCACCCTCCCCAGTAGCCTCCACCGAGGAGTAGGGCCAAGTGCTAGGGACCTGCCCCACTAGGGATTCCCCGGGGCATAAATGCAGTATGTGCCCACATCAGCTTCCCCGTGAGGCTAAAGTCTGGTCCTGACACCTTAGCATAATTCACATTGATGAAAAGCTTCGCCTTCCTGCAGGTCAGATCCTAAAGTCTATGAAATGGATTTAACCAAGTCTCTTAAGTTAATAAAGATGAGTAGGGAAGAAAGAGGACCAAGTAGCATCCCTTCTAGCGTAGACGTGGTAAGGGGGTGGGGGGAACCTTCCTTCCCCCACTAAATCTCAAATGCAACTTCAAGCTGGCACCTTAAAATCTACAGCTTTGGAAATGGAGATTGTTGAAGGGGAGGAAGAACTCTCGCTTTTCCTGCTGAGACCAATTAGAAAACAAAAACAAAAACTCCATGCACCTTTGGCGCTGTTCAAGTTTCATTCTCCATTTACTGCATTTATTTCTGTTTCCTCCAGATTCCATGTCGAGTTCATGGCCTCATTTAAATAGCTGTTCTGCACACCGCCGGTGATGTTGTACATTAGTTTAACAACCCAAATTCTTACAATTGTCCAGAAAGTTTTTTCTTCTTGGGTGCACAGTTCATGCCTGCCAGGAACTTTAAGACGAACTGTAGAGACTGAGAGGGAAGAAAATCACCATTGGGCTCTTGAGCACTAGACATGCTGTCACTAGAGCCTAGGAATCAAAGGGCATCTCTGCAAAAATCCTGGTGCTAAGAGCAGGGCCCTGGGTTCAAAGAGGGTTTTCTAAGCTTACCGTCCCCAGGCCGTACCTACCCAGATACTTCTATAAGTAAATTCTCCGCTTGAAGTTTGGTCATTCTGTCCCCATGTAAATCTAACAACAACAACAAGAATAATAATAACAGAGGAAAATTAACTCACAGCTCCTGTCTGAACGTAACGTGAGAGATAAATATCCCTATTAAGCTGAATCGGTTTTTTATCAGATTCAATAAATCTATAAATGATAACGATCGCGGGGAAAGCCAGAAAGGAAAGAGGGAAAGACGGAAAAGGGCGATCCTTTGGTCTACAAGAGGATTAAAGACATCTATAGGCTTAAGAAGCAACAAATTAATTTACACCACCCTAGAAGAGCCCAGATGGCCTTTAATTAATCCCTTCAAAAGAAGGAGCCAGGCTGGGGCTGCGCCGGCTGCCAGCTCCATTAGCTCCATCTTGCCGGGGTCCAGACTCAGTTCGGGGTGAGGCGCCGGAGACTGGAGGGGGAAGGGGGCCGAATGACGCGAGCTGGCGGGGGCAAGGGCAGGGAAGAACATGAACTGCTTTTCCATAAAAGGTCTCAGTTTTCCTTATTCTTCTCTTTAAAAAGTAATACTCGCTTCGTCGGTGCCCCCCTCCCGGCTCCATTGGATTTAATACAATTAATCTTGGCGGCCCCTGGCCCCCCGCGCAGAACCGCTCCTGAGCAGGCCCCGCCCCTCCAGGCTCCGCCCACCAGATGGGGGGGAGGGAGGAAAGTGGGGGAACTAGGCAGGCGGGGCCTCAGAGCTTGTTAGTCTCCGCCAATCAGAGAACGTGGCGCTCCCAAGCGGGCGTACCCCAGAGCCCCGAGGCTGTGCGCTATTGGAGAGGGTGGTGCAGCCCCTGGCCTGCGCCCCACTCCTCGGCACCGCCCTTCTCCACCGCCCCGGAGTGACGTCCCTTCAAAGTTCTCATTTTGGTCCCCCCCACTTTCCCCCCTCCCTGGCGTCCCCCCCAGCTAAAGAGCGGTAGAGAGTGATGCAAATGTTTTATTACCTTTGAGAGCTTCATCCGAACTGTCAGGCCTGGAGGGAGGAAGAGAGTGGAAGCAGAGGGTCAGTGTGAACGCAGGACGCTTGGAGAGCAAGCCGGTAAAGCCACGAAGAAAATGCACCCGCGGAGAGAGAAAGGCGGGGAGTGAGAGGAAGCGCGGGCGCCGGGCGGGGCAGGGGGCTTCGGGCCCGCGCGCACCGGGGACCGGACGATCGCGGCTGCAGGCGAGTCGGCCGACTTTTCACACTTAAGTCTTTGTGTTTCTGTTTGGTTTTGTTTTTCTCCCCTCCCTCTTTTCAATACCGCAACTCTAGCGCCCGGCGACCCGGCGGGGAAGGCCAACTCGCAGAGCTTCGGGGGTGGTGGTGGCATTGCCCTTTTTGGCTGCCCCGGGCAGCCCCGGCGAAGGAAACCCGCCCGAGGCGAGATCGCCCCGCGGGCTGGATGCGCTCCGTCCCCGCCTGCGGCGGGCCCCGAGTGCGAATCCACCACGCCGCCGACCGAGCGGAGCGTCCGCGCGCGGTTAGGGGAGCGGTGGCGGCGGACCCCAGCGTCCTTTGAACTTTCTTCCCCCAAGAAGCGAGCCAGCCCCCCACCCTCTTCCATCCAAGTGGAGACTCCGTGACTCTTAACTTTGTTACAAACTGTCGGGGACCGGCCGGGGGGTGGCTTGCTTGCGTCTTGCCCTGGCGGGAGGAAGAAAGAAGATGAGAAGTAGCGGACTTTGAGGCTTGAAGAAGACGACTTAGGGATTGAATCCAAGACTCTGGGAGCGCAAAGATCGCTGAACCCCCTTTTGGACACCCGATTGTCTCCACCACTCATTGCGTCTCGCGTGGCGGATTCGGACTTGTCCGCTGCGCAGCTCGGACAGCAACCGTGGGCGCCAGCGTTCTGGGCACAGTTGGCAGGTCGCCCCCGAGTGCCCCCAGAGACACCTCCATTGCGCCCTAAGCGCTCGCGGCTTCCCTACCCCGGCGCGGGGAACGGGCCGGCGCCGTCGCTGCGCGGCTGCGGGCTCCGGCCTGGCCGTGGGATGTTAGCGGTGGGGGCGATGGAGGGCACCCGGCAGAGCGCTTTCCTGCTCAGCAGCCCGCCCCTGGCCGCCCTGCACAGCATGGCCGAGATGAAGACCCCTCTGTACCCCGCCGCGTACCCCCCGCTGCCTGCGGGCCCCCCTTCCTCCTCCTCCTCCTCTTCCTCGTCCTCATCGCCCTCCCCGCCTTTGGGTGCCCACAATCCAGGTGGCCTGAAGCCCCCGGCCGCGGGGGGACTGTCGTCCCTGGGCAGCCCCCCGCAACAGCTCTCGGCCGCCACCCCGCACGGCATCAACGACATCTTGAGCCGGCCCTCCATGCCCGTGGCTTCGGGGGCCGCCCTGCCTTCCGCCTCGCCCTCCGGCTCCTCTTCCTCTTCTTCCTCGTCCGCCTCTGCCTCCTCGGCCTCGGCTGCCGCCGCCGCCGCCGCGGCCGCAGCAGCGGCCGCTGCCTCCTCGCCAGCTGGGCTGCTGGCTGGCCTGCCCCGCTTCAGCAGCCTGAGCCCTCCGCCGCCGCCGCCGGGGCTCTACTTTAGCCCCAGCGCCGCCGCTGTGGCCGCGGTGGGCAGGTACCCCAAACCACTGGCCGAGCTGCCGGGCCGGACGCCCATCTTCTGGCCGGGAGTGATGCAGAGCCCACCCTGGAGGGACGCGCGCCTGGCCTGTACCCCTCGTGAGTACCGATCGCCCCTGACCCCGGTCCCTGACCACTGTGTTCGTTCTGCCTGCTCCGGGTCGGTTCCACCTCTTGCCTGCCCCATTAGTTTGGCAGGTAGCAGAAACATACACTCTCGCCTGGCCCAGGGCGTCTAGCCAGTGCTCCACGCCTTCCTGAGCTCTGGTGGCTTCACCCAAGCTCCTTACTCTCCCCCAAATTTGGACATGTTTGGGCCAAGCCTGCACAACCCAGCATAGTGTCTTTCCCGTGAGATCACCCCCCCCCATCCCCCGATGCTTTCCAAACGGCCCAGCCAGGACCCCAGAGGAGGGAAAGGCCTCCAAGGCCCTACCCGAAATCCCCGCTCCTCCAGCTCCTTCTGGACGGCCACAGCCCCACTGCGACCGCCAGGTTGAGCCTTGCCTTTCTGCAAATCGGTGCTTCCTTAGAGTATCACGGCAGCGGTCCCCGGCCAGAGTAAGTGCGTGCTTTTGCGCGCAGATCTCTGGTCGGGTTTTCCCCGCCTGTGCCACGCCTGCCGGACCAGGCGCTTACTGAAGACAGGCCAGAGGTTCCTCGACCCTGGCGGTGCCTGCTGGGCCCGTACTTTCCCACATCCCTCCACCCTATCTTGGGCAGGTGAGGTCTCAGCACACTTGCTACTTTACTTCCTAACACGGAGTGAGCGGAACAACGCAGCGACGAACCCCAGGCTAGGGAAACTTAACATCCCACAAGTATCTTGCCTGAGATCGGGAGTGGCCCCAAGCTCTCGGGAGTTTTCCGGGGAGTAGGCCAATCGATCTGCAGAGGCTGCCGCCCCCCAGGTGGCATTCAGGACCCGGCCTGAGTTCCCCTGTCCAAGCTCTACTTTGCTGCTGGCTAGATCTGAAAAGTATCCCCAAGTCTCAGAACCTGTTTTCGTGAGGTTGAACGTAGTAAGTGTACAAGTCGCGGGAGCCAAGTGAGAAGCTCCCTTGGGAAGCCCCCAGGACGTGAGCGGAGGGGCCGCTGGGGTGTCAGGGAGACACTATTGTATCTTTCTGGTAGCTGTGTAGGGGTCGCCAACAAAGACAGTGCCTCCTCCCCTTCCCCCCACTCCAGCCGCGTTAGACTCTGGGGCGATTTAGAGTTATTGTGTGCAAAAAACAAGGCGCCTTTGTTGCCTGGACGCAGGTTAGGGAATGTTGGAAGTAAAGCAAAGTAAAACAAAACTGTTGATTTCCTAATGAAAAAAAGCCCAAGGCAGTCGCGCACCCAAAGGAGAGACGCTGGCTTTTTTCCTGTCGGTGAACTCCTCAAAGTAACCCGGCTTGGATTCTGCCCAGCTAACTCCAGCAAGTAGGTTCTGTAGCTCTTTGGCCTTGATGTTGAGTAGAAGGTAATTACAGTTTCTCCACCCACCCAGCTTAAAAATAACCCCCAAACAACAAACAAACAAACAAAAGCAAAAAAACTAATAAACATGTTGGGTTTAAAACAGTGAAATACTGAAACACTGGGTTCCAAGAGGCACACCGCGTCCGGACCAAGCTTTCTTTTCTAATCAAAACATTGTGTGTGTGTGTGTGTGTGTGTGTATGTGTGTGTGTGTGTCATTTTGCTTCCTCCCACCCCACTTGTAGCCAATTATTTCCTCTCTTCTCTCCTTTATCGCTTCTCGCAGATCAAGGATCCATTTTGTTGGACAAAGACGGGAAGAGAAAACACACGAGACCCACGTTCTCGGGCCAACAGATCTTTGCGCTAGAGAAGACTTTCGAACAAACGAAATACTTGGCTGGGCCCGAGAGAGCTCGGTTGGCCTATTCGCTGGGGATGACAGAGAGTCAGGTCAAGGTGAGTGGACCCGGGAACCCCGAGGGACGGGCCAGGTGGTAAGGAGAGCGAGTCCAGCCCTACACCCCCAACTCAGTAAATTGCCTTGAAGGGGCGGCGCTCAGAGGAACGGGGAGAGACAGTGAGGGGAGAGAAGAGAGTTGCGGTTTACAAAGGCACTGGGTGTCTTGCGGGAGAGCACCGACGACGAACAAAAGGATCCAAGCCCCCGCCTTTGAAATTAGGTTTATCTAGATAGCAGCTTGTGTTAGGGGAAGTCATCATTATAAGAGAATAAAAGCATTCCCGAAATATCAGCTCAGTGAATGCATCAGGCCAGTGTAGAGAGCTTCTATTTATTCTGTGAAGATACCCTAGTTTTTGTTAGGTCAGGCTTCCATCATGTAGATAATCATTTTTATTGCTTCTAATTCGCAGATTAAAAAAAAATACAACCACCGGATCTACCAATTAGCTTGGATAAAACTGTTCTTTTCTTTCTCTTTTTTTCTTTTGAATAGTCATTTTCCAAACGAGAAATTAAGATTATTATAGGATTGAATTCTGTTCAAAACAAGTTTGTCATCAACAGATTTAAGATAGTTTATAACAAGTTGTAATTAAAACATCACTTTGCTGGTAATTGAGTTGTACAGTGCATTTCTAGGAAACCAAATTTTAGAAATCCTTCCCTGAAAATTAAGAGACTGAACTGAGTACATTCAGTCTGATAGCTTCCTTTTCAGAATTTTCAGTGTTTTCAGAAATCTCCTTTGTTTCTCTTTTTTGTTTTCAGTTTGTTTTATTTGTTTCTTTGGAGGTGAACGTTCTCATTAGCTCTACTGGTGCTCTCTGAATTGAGTAGGAATAATATTAACCATGTCTTCTGGCTAGAGAGTATTTCCCTCTGGACAGCATATAAAATACATTTTAGGAGTTATTTTTTTAAATGTGGCCATTAGAGTGCCATCACATTTAAAATTATTTTTGCAGTGGGCTGGTACAGAGACTACTAATGTGACCTGGAGGATCTTTATTTGACACAGTAAATATCCCTGTATGCAAGGAAGTGACTTAGTATAGCTATAAAAAAATTACGTTCTTAACAATTCTGATTCTTTAGATACAATACATAACGGATGAGAAGCATAAAAATTAATTCAATATCTATGGAAAACTGGTTGCTTCTCACTTTAAGTTAAAATATGTGTCAAATATGAATAGGCTTAATATATTTGTATATAAAATGAATAACTTGGGCAGGAACAATATTAAAATGTATTAGAAAGTATGGGCATGATAAAAAATGGTGTAACTGGAAAATTTTTCTCTGTTGTGGACCTGTGTCACAATTAATTACAACTTTACTTTTTAATGAAAAATATTAAGATGGGGGGGGAAGAGGAAGAGCACCAAATGACTGTGATGATTTTAACTCAAGTATTAAATACTTTCATTTGAGTGTGTGGAGGTTTGTATTTTAGCTGGAAACTACATTATGCATGCAAGGTTGTGAGGACTGAGGGAATTTACATATGATGTTTGTGTAGGTTCAAGCCAGAAATGAGTCTAACAATCACAAGTCCAAAAGTGAAAAAGAAAAGTGACTAGGGAAAATGCGGTGTCTTTTCCTCCTGATCACGTTAAGGCAATTCCTTAATCCAGGAAAGTTAAAGTCTCCGTGGGGGGGGGGGGAACTTTATGAAGAGGAAAACCTTTTCTACTTTCTAACGAGAAAGCTTTTTTTTTTTTTAAGGAAAACTCATTTTTAAGTTTCCCAAAACTCATTTTTAAGTTTCCCCAAACGGCGCGCTGCTATATATATATATATATATATATATATATATATATATATATATATATATATATATATTCTGAGGAGTCACTTGGTGATAACTTCCATCCACTTATGTTCCTATCACTATGGCAACGGCAGTCCATGTGTTGGTACCTGTGACTCGGACAAACCTGTAGCGTTGGAGCCTGACTTTGAAGGCCCAAATAGGGGAGATCTGACTGGCCATCCGGGACCCACGGGCGGGGGGGGGGGGAACCTCCAGACCTGGGGTTGAACGTCAGGCTTCGATCTCCCGACCTTAAATTCCCTTATACCCCCCATCCCCCACCCCACCCCACCCCTCCTCTGGTCTGCTTCTGCAGGTCTGGTTCCAGAACCGCCGGACCAAATGGAGAAAGAAGCACGCGGCCGAGATGGCCACGGCCAAGAAGAAGCAAGACTCGGAGACCGAGCGGCTCAAGGGGACCTCGGAAAACGAGGAGGAGGACGACGACTACAACAAGCCCCTGGATCCCAACTCGGACGACGAGAAGATCACGCAGCTGCTAAAGAAACACAAGTCCAGCGGCGGCGGCGGCGGCGGCCTCCTGCTGCATGCGTCTGAGACCGAGGGCTCGTCCTGAGCGCGCGCCCCGCCGGCGATCGCGGCCCCAAGTATTTTCTGAGATGTACATATCTATTTTTCTAAGCGAGACGTCGAGGCCGGGGGGGGGCGCAGGGGAGAGAGAGACTGCGGGCTGAGGAAAGGCAAAACCAGCCCACGACGCGCGCTGCCCTGTGGGGGACCCCAGCCCCTTTGGGGACCCTTCCCCCCACATCCACCCACTCCCTCCCCGCCGCAGGCGCCCAGTCCGCTCCCCCATACCCTACCCTCTGCTCTCCTGCTTTTGCCCCAGCGAGTCGCCGGTCGTGGAGAGGTGTTTTGAGGGCACAGGGGACCTCCGGGCCACCCACGGGATGAATGTGTCCATTCCCAGACACTGCTGTGCCGACTAAAGTAACCTGTTGAAGGCTCTGTGTAAATAAATCGTGAGTCACACTGACTAGAAGTTACTTTATTGTGAATATTTAAAAATGTAAAACGCCTTTTGTTTTCTTAACTTGGTATAAGAAGTTGGACGTCCTGCCTTCTCGATGGAGAGCTACTTACTCATAGAACGCACTCCCTGGTTCTTTTAAACTTAGAAAAGAATGTTCTCATTCTCTCCCCCCCCCCCCTTTCCTCCTCCGGCTCCGTCCCTCACCCCCACTCCACCTCCCCCCCCTCCACACCTGCACCGGGCCCCGCCCCCGGGACTCGAGGCTGGAGACGTGGGAACTCCGGGGGGGCCTCACACCTGTCTCTCTGTTCTCCGCTGAAATTGCACAGTCGTTTGTTGGTATTTATTAGTGATTTAAAGAAAAATATTGGGGAGGGAGGGGCTACAATAGCTCGTATTTAATTTAACTCCTTTCTGATTAAATAAAAATGCGTGCTAAAAGTAAACGGTGGGAATTGTTACAACCGCTCTGGGTCAGAACATGAAAGAAATCCATTTAGTTGCTGTAATTGAATTTGAAAGTGTTTTGTATCATAAAAATACTATAGAATATGTACATTGTTTTCTTTTTTAAAAAAACCGCTAATAACCGGCGATATATTAGCCTCTTTAACGTTTATTAATTTATATGAGGAATTCGGTTTGTAAAGAGAAGGAAATCCCTTGGCAAGACCAATTAAATGTAATGCACTTTCTGTTTCAAAGGAGAAATCAAATTAAAACAAAAACAAAAAAACAAAGCAAAACAGTTTGAAGATGTTTGTTGCCTTGAACGAAAGGGTGAAGATCATTGGATCTCATCAGAGATCTGAAATAATAAAAGTCAAAACTACAAAAAAAATGTAATCTCTGTTTCTTGGGCAAAATAGCTGTAAGCCCTGCTTTTGCTATGGGATTCATCATCATGATCATCATGAACAGCATCATCATCATCATCATCATTATTGTTATTATTGTTGTTGGAAGTATAAGATTATTCTCCTGGATTTGGAAGATAGAAGAAAAAACAACCCTACTCACAGTGCTTGAAGACTTGGCTAGCCGGCTGTTCCTGATGTCTGTGTTGTCTAATTTTTTCCTGATGGCTTTTTCCTGGCAAAGAAATCCCTGGGGAGTTTGGGAAGTTCTCATTTTCATACAACCAAGATAGCCTCCCCCCACCTTTTCGATTAGCTGGGAGAGGCTGTGTAGCGCCTTCCGCAGCAATACAGCTGTTTTGAGGATAACATTCTCCCACCACCCTCCCACCCCCGACTCCCACCTCCCGGTTGCCTGTTAGGACTGCAAAAATTTGTGGCAAGACAGGTTTTGCCAAACATTACAATGAAAAGTGAGGTTAAAGAAAGCTGTTTTTTCACAGATGTGAAAGTCCTGAGAAGCATTGTTATAGTTTCAGGCAATAGGCAAAAAGTATTTGGGAATCCCACAGTAAGGAGGTGAAGGTTATTATCACTATGTTGAGGTCCTTTTGTTTTTAGATACTAAGGTACAGGCTTAGGGAAATAGCAGTTATCTCTTATCTCTGCAGTGCTGCAAGTTAATGAGCTTGTGTTCAAAGAGAGAAAAATCAATAGAATTCAGTAGACTCTTCAGGCTCATGTGCAGTAGAGAGTGAGTCTGTTTTGTTTCCTCAAAAACAAAACATTTTCCACAAGTTCCACAAAATGAAATTGCTGAAGGGGATTATTGTAGAATAGATTCTTGATGGTACAGTTTATGGAAAGAAGGATGAAAATCTGTTCTTTCTTTTCTCCAGTTTACAAAGTCCTTAAGTATTTCCCAAGTTTTCTGAATTGCTATTTTCTTAGTAAAACTAATTATACAATGAGAACAAGCCTTCCTGCCTTCCTTCCATCCTTCCTTCTTTTTGTCTTTCATTCTCCCCTCCCTTTTTCTGTCTTCTTCTCTTTGCCCCTCTTTCCTCCCTTTTCTTTGTTTTTAATCTTTCCTTTTTTTTAAGTGTCTAAAGGTAGGGAAAACAAGCTTATTTTGCATGTGCACTTCATTGCCACATATAAACCCCCCCCTTTTTTTTTAACTTTGTCATTTTTCACTTTTACCCACTGCTTTTATACCTTAAAAAAACAAGAAATTTTAATTCTTTCTTCCTAAGGTAAAAGAACAAAACCCCACAACATACTTAGAAACATTGCTCTTGAAAAACAACAATTAAAGCAATAGCTGAACTATTCAGAAAGAACTAGGGAATCAAGTTGAGGCCTCTTTTCAGGAAGTAAATAGGTGGCCATTGGTGGTTTGAAGTGTGTGGAAGTGATCACCCTAAACTCTTCCCCTGTAACTTTGAGCATAGAGGAGGGTGAGAACCAATGGTCTGGACTCCACTACATAGAAGAACCAACCCATTGGAGGGCAGACCCTCCGCTGGTTTACCAGGCAGGCTTTGAGATTGCCCTGTGCTGGAGTCCACTTTCTCTCTCTCCTCCCTCCCTCCCTCCCTCCCTCCCTCCCTCCCTCCCTCCCTCCCTCCCTCCCTCCTTCCTCTCTCTCTCTCTCCAGCTGACTGCAGCAGTGACTTGAGATTGCCAGTTAATTTACTTCCATCCAAGACTTCAGCTGGCCACCAGTTGCAACTGGCCCCCATAAAACTAGAGTGAAGGAGAAAGGGGTAAAGAGGCAGCTCCCTAGTTTGTCTTAGTTGGATTGGTTCTGTTGTTTGCATGTGCAGAAGAAGAAAAAAAGAGGCAGATTTATTTTATTTTATTCTTTACTAAGAGCTAGCATAAGAGGAGGGGCTGCGGAAATACTTTCCAGTTCAGCCAGCAGTGGAGGGTAAGAGTCATTTTTCCATCTTGGCTCAAATGTGTTATGGCATTAACTTCCATAAGCATCTGATTAAGGCTGGCCAACTGGCCATTACAGTTAAAGGGGTTGTGACAAAACAACGTCACAGCAAGTGACTTGACAGATCGCTGCTTTTGTAACCACTTACGGGCAACAAAGTGTCAACAGCTGAGGAGAAAAAGAGAGAAACAAGGTTTTGTGTGTGGTGAGAGGGAGGCTTGAACGGCCTTTGGACTTTTGTTGTGTGTAGGTTCTCTTCCTAAAAAGGAGAAGTCCAGAAGACTGCTTGAGGGATTTGGGTGGCAGTGGAAAGGAAGGGGCCATGGATGTGTCACTCAGATAGATGTCCCCCACTACATTCAAGGCTCCTGTTCAGATCTCTATTCAAGCTCAGTTCTCCTATTTTCTCTTTGCTTCACCTTCAGGATTCTGTAACTCAAAGTTCTACATGCCTGCCTTTCAGAAGGTGTGGCATAATGAGCAATTTCCTAGTGCATGATCGCTTCAATCCACTTTTCTTACAAAGAGGCAATAGGAAGGTGGAAAAACAACATTCATTTTATGGAGTTTTCTTATCCTTTAATGGGCTACTCTGGATGTCAGCATTTCATGGAAATACCATGCTACTGACAATGCATTTCAAACCTTCTAGGGTATCTGATATAAAACTGAATATGTTATTAAGTCAGCATCAACTTTTAAGCTGGTGATTGGAGGACACACACACACACACACACACACACACACACACACACACACAAACTGGTAAAATTCCACTGGGGAACTCCTAGCACTGAATAGCTTAAAGAGACAGTGGCTCCTTTGTTAATCATTGACAATAAGATTGTGTAATAACAACAGAGGTAAGTGGTAGATTTCATCTAGAAACTATTTTAGGCTAAATTAAACATTTTTCTATATTAAGTTCCCTCCCTCTTACCTTCCAGAGACATTCAAAAGCTCTCCTCTCCCATCACAACTTTTTTAAAAAGCCATTCTTTAGTATACTTCTCTTTTTCTTTTTAGACAAGAATGTGTATTTTGTTTTGTAGCATCTGTATGGCTACCTTAAAAGATAACTGTATTTTCCCTAATGTAACCCTCCTCTTCCCTCCCTCCCTTTCTTTCTACCTCTTTCCCTTTCTCCCTTCCTTTTATGGGTGGAGGTCTTGCTAGGTAGCCCAGTCTGGTCTTATATTTGTGAGCTTTCTGTCTCAGCCTTCTGAATTCTGGGATTAGAGGTGTGAATCACCATGCCCACCCAGTCCTTCTGAAGAAAACATAGGCCTTAATTCCCTCATTTAAAAGCTTGCCTGGTGAGTAGTCATGGTATGTGCAAGTTGGCAAGGGAATATGGAGTATTTTTCTGAAATGTGTCCTTCAGCATTCCATCAATTGGCTTAGTCATTCTACAAACTGGATTTGCCTGGGTTTGGACTCTCATCTTTCTCTTCTGTCCAACATTAGTCACAGATGAAACACATAGTGGTACATCATTTGTTCAGATACATTAAAGTAGACATTGACTAAAACACTCACTCAAAACTTTTGAAAGAAGAGTACAATGTCCTCATAGTGTTTGCTATTTAGCCAGAATTCTGAAGTAGGACCTCATCCATATCTTCTCTGCCCATAAACTTTGAATAAGGGTTAGTTTGCATAAGGATAAATTCAAAGATATAGTTTCCTCATCACAGAGAGTCTTTTGCTGTGCAATTTAAATAAGTATAGATGATTTTTACAGGGGAACCTTACACCCTCTTTAATATTTTTTTGCCTCTCTCTGGGGATAACCAAAAGTAGTA